TTTTTTCCTGTTTGCTTTGAAAATGAAATTTAAATGTGATCTCTTCAGTGCTTCAGGTAAGTCTGTAAAATCATTCTGTAATAGAATGGTGCGTGGCGAAGTATTACGGTAACTTTCATGCTCTGAATCATTAATATACAATTTTTGAATCTCTTGCATAGTAAACAATTCAAATTTGAAAAATATTTTAGAGCTCAAATTAGAATATTCGAATTTTTTTACTGGTATGAAGTCTTTTAAATTGGACAAACTTCACTGATTTTTTTCATTGATCTCATAATTTACATAAATTAAAATGCCTTGCAACTGAAATGAACGAATTACTAAAATGGAATAAGAAAAATTTTAATTAACTTTATTTATTCAAATGAAGTTAATTAAAATATGACCCAGCTTTTGGACCTTGTTGCATATGCTAAATATCACAAAGTGATAAAAGTGTATAAAAGTATAATTAGAATAATTTCATATCTGAAATATTTCTGTAGATCAGAACTATATTTATGATATGAATAGTAAGATTCGCGCTAAGTTCATAATGCATGTGTGATAACAAAGACCAAATAAGATTAACATTTGTTTCTTTATGGCATCGCATGAGTATCGAACGTTCTATATGTAAATGATTCTGGAAGTTACTGTAGAATGTGCCGTCATTACTTTTTCATCACATTAAAAATCTTTCAAATTTTCATATATTGTACCTTACCTTATTTGTCAAATACAGAAACCCTTTGTAGAGTACACCCTCCCTCTCATGAAGCTACATCTTTTTAATTCCGAAATTTATTATAAAACAGTTATTAAGAAACATCGAATCACCTCTCATAAGTGATTCGATGTTTCCGAAATTTACTATGAAATATGCCACCCTTCTTACGTCAAATATTCTTTGAATTCAGAACCTTTAAAAATATCAATAGGTGTACCTATAATTCTACCTAAGCAAAGCCAAACATTACTTTTTATATAATAGGTCATTACTTTTTACTCGTTAATTAATGAAAGAGTGAATAAGTCGGGAAGATTGTTTTACTAGTGGTCTTTCTTGAAATACAGTTTCTTCTGATACGGCTCTCACTATGCACACAAATGTAATGTATAAAAGTATAATTAGAATAATTCACGGGAATCTTGTCAAAAATATAATACCATTACGTCTTCTTCAACAAATTAAGTGAGCGAAATTCTGCAATTCTGTAATTTAAAAATGTTATAATTATTAAAATTTAATATGCACATATTTTCCAGGTTTCTAGAGGTCAATTACAAATTACTATAATTTCTGACAGATTTATTTTTAATAATTTTTGAAAACTTTGAAATTTAAGTGGAAAATTTTTCAATTCTAGGGGTCTGTAATAAATGACCTAATTTCAAAACTACAAAACTTGCCATAACTTTAATTTTCGCTGTATACTTTACTTATAAAATAATAATATGTGTTGTAAGTTTTGGTGATGTCATTTGTAAATAATAACTCAAATATGTAATAATTATTAGCAAAATTCAGATACTCAATATTTGCAAAAAAAAAAATTAATAAAGTTGCAAAAAAGTGTTATGTACCAATGAGATTACTTTGGAACGCAAAAAACAGAAATTTCAGCTATTTATTGTTTTTAATATCGGCTAATAACTTTTCAGTATTATTTCAAACAATAATTGTCGAATCCGATCTGTCTGATTCTATTTTCTTTTTCAAGTTTAATTAAATGCTTTCTCACATTATTTACAGCACCTAGTTTCACTGACCAGGGTATGTCCTGAAAACACTATCATATAACTCAATAACATCATTATTTAATCAAACTAAAGTTAAATAAAGATTGAATCAAAAAATTAGAAAATTTAACTAAAATTATAGTATTTGTCTATGAAACATTCCCTTACTTGTGAAAGTGATTAACATAAATATATTACCAAAATAAATGAAAGCTAATTACATAAAAAGATTCCAATTATATTAATATATCTCATATCTGTAAAAATAGCAAAAATATTAGTTTAAAAAAACTTATTTTATATATTAAATTAGTAACTCGAACACATGATGCTATGCTCAAACGTTTCAATGTTTCTAATATTTCGTCTTCCCGTTTTTCACGATGATTGATGTATTCAGAAATTTTTTCCAAACCTTTTTCGATAACTTTGCCATGTCCAGGATAGATTCTGGCAATAATTTTCTATTGTTAAGAACTCGTACGTGACTAATAGACCAGTTACAATTTACAAGTTTGAAAAAACTAATTTTGCCGTAACAAAGGAAGTAATATATGACTATAGGTCATGTTATTGAAAGCCGTGGTGTCAATATAAAATGACATATATTCAAAATTATATTCAAACTAAAATATGCACAAATAATATCTACCTGATGATATTAAGATTAGAAAGTATTTTTAAAGAATGCATATAGTCATGCAAATCTTCGAATATTGAAGTTCCTTCACCAAGAATGCAATCACCACTAAATAAGCTTTTTTCTTCTTCAAAATATATCGACATATGATCAGAAGTATGTCCAGGTGTTGCTATACATCTATAAATCATACTTGAGTGGATAAATTCATCAAAAATTGATACAGCACTTTTTTGATTGATATTTATTTTTCAACATTTCGATTTATGGTTTTTTAGTATGAAATAAACATAATAAATGAAATATTTTGAAAATATTTTGTTAAATTACCTTAATGTGACACCAGGACTTTTTATAACATGTCCCGGTGTAATATAATTATATATTATTTCCTTCGTTACGGGATAATCAGTCCTTTCAAACTTATAAACTGGAACTGGTCCATTAGTCACCTACGAGTTCTTAAAATTTACTCTTCAACTTTTAAAAGTAGGTTTAGAAATTATTACAATTACTAAAATAACTTATTTTGAGATTAAATTTGCTGTTTTTTGTAATAATTGGTAACTAAATTAAAATTATTAGTCACGTAAAAATAAACTTATAATTGTGAAATTTAAAAGGAATAAATGAATAATCATCAGAAACATGTTTGAAAATATCCAGTATTCCTCCAACGTGATCTTGATGCCAATGTGTGCAAATAATTGACGTTATTGTAGCATCACCCAATGCTTTTATCAAATCATCAACGTATGACTGCACGCCACTTTCCCCACAGTCAATCAAAATTCTCCTGAAACCAAGTTAATATTTGAGTATCTTGATTGTTAGGACAACAAAAACAAAAATTGACTACTTCATTTATGAAGTAAAAATTTTCTTTAATATTAAAGAAGTAATACCTTTTTAATATAAAAAAAGTTGTACGGAATGAAAAAGTATGATTTTAAATATACCAATCAAAATTTTCTCTGAAGTTTTCCTTTTTCCTTTGTATAAAACTACCTTTTTGATTTTCGATAAATTTGAATTATTATGCTTCAGAGCTATGTCAATTCTACTACTATTACACCATAGATTTCCAAGCATTAGAATAATCGAATTTTTCAAGCAAAAAATGCGAAAATTAAGTTGAAAATACACAAATGCATTAGAATTGAGATAGCTCTGAAGCATAATAATTCAATTTTTTAATAGTTAAACAAGAGAATATGATTAACAAAAAGGATCTTCAATCATTAATTATTGATATATGAGATGCCAACATGCCAATATTCGAAAATTTTAATAAATAAAGGAGGAAAATGCGAACAAGCTGCTTCTGCTAAGTATTTTGGAGAAACAAATCAGTCAAAATTCTGACAGTTTTACAGAAAGCAAAAAAACGAAAATGTAGGAGAGAATTTACATACATACATATCTAATATCATGCTTTCTTCATTCAAAACAACCATCTTTATATTAAAAATTTCTTTAAACTAAAAATGTTTCTTCTTTATTACTGAAAAAAAATTGTTCGGAATTTGAAAATAGTTCCTTTTTTTACATTTTATGAACTGTAATTTATGAATACATCATGTTTGCTTTATCAGTTATATAAATTTGAATTAAAGTTCCGTATTGTTTGATTAATTTCATTAACACAAATATAAATATCAATAGTCATTTTGATCCTGCGACCTTCATAATTGATGATTACTATATTATCCATTTCATTTATGTCACTGCCATTGTCATAATTCGAGAACACATCAATTGTTATGATCAACATAACTGTGATTACCATTCACTACCACAAAATGTGATTGGTATGATACCTGTTGATTGTTATAAACAAGTTCATAACAACCATTATTCTTACGATTTATTGGTACTTTAATCGATGAATTAGTAGTGCTGGAAGGACTAAGAAATAAAAACTAATTATCATTAATATTTCATTAATTTAACTATACAAATCAGCTACTCCTTTTATTTTCAAACTCATTCTTTTCATTTTTAACAAATTCGACGCTTTTTTTTCGTAAACTAATACTTACTTAAACTTAACCTTATCTATGACTGAAATGTATAAAGAAACAACTTGATTTCTTTTAGTTAAATTTTAAAATAAGTGAATAAATATAAAAAACTTACTCATTACTACTTCCAACCAAGTAAGTATTTGTTCCTTGAAGCGTAAATGGGCCTGGATTATGACCTAGTATACGTACAACTTTTGTTGATAATTGGCTGATCGAATCCATTACAGATAGATCAGACTTTTTTTTACTCAAAAATAATTTACCAAACAAATAAGCAATAAAAAGTACAGAAATATAAATTGCATCAGAAATTGAATTCAATAGTAGTGTTGTATGAGAAGTGAGTTTTTTCCAATAATAATTTGATTCCATCTATAAGTTAATTGATTTCATTGTTTTGCTTTAATATTTCTGCACAATAGAACTGTTTTTGAAATAACTGTCGATTTATGAGCAAAATTTAGTTGTTGTACGATTCAAAATTAATGTACAATTTATGAGTTAGTGTTGGTATCAGTACTGTACCATAGCTGCATGTCAAAAAAGGTCACTTTTCAACGATGTAAAAGTGAAAATATTTTTGAGAGCATCACCAAAAGCAAAAACAGCGCAACAAGTCAAATTGATTCAAAATTTTGACGTAGTAACATCGTGATAAATCAATCTTTAGAGTTTAGCCCAGTCTCAACAATTACTTTCATTTTTATTAATCAACATTTATGAGTCAAAAAAAACAAAAATGTGAGTGATTTAATTTTTTGACTTTACTTAACCTTTGCAATCTTTGTTTCAAAATATTAGCATTCTAGTTCATTTTAAAGCCATATAATTATTCTTAAAGTTAGTCTAGAGATGTTATTTGTGAATTAAGCTAAGAATCTGTTGTGAAGTACAAAGTTAAAATTTCAAATAAATAAAAATGTTCAGGAAGCTAATATTTAATCTTCACGTAGAATTTCATGTGAAAATGTATTTGATCCCTTTTTAAATATATTAAAAAATGAATATAAAGCGAGAAACTCTACAACATTCTACCATTTCAATCACCCAAATCTTTGCGTGTTTACGTACAAACTTACTCATTCCACCTAGCAAATCTTATAGGATCGAAGAAATGCTTCACAATGCATTATTATGTCGATTAAAATATCATTCCTCACTTTAAAAATAAACTTAACATCCACAAAATCCAGCAGAAACAAAACGTATTCGCAGCCACATAAATTTCTACTCCAAAATTTTTATTCTAAATACAATTTTAATACGGCTTTTGCTTCTGCCCCACATGAAAATTAGAATCCTACAAATTATTTAATACTTTATAGTCAAAAAGTTAAGCGTAGATTGGGCAGATGGCAATTTGTTCATGTTTCTTTAAATATCAAGTCTAGTAGGTCTGGTAGGTCAAGAGCTGTATCTGTATTTTTTTAGATAACAGAAAACTATACTCAACATTATTTTGGCAACATTTTTATAGCTTTTCAGAATAGAATTTCGTTGAGTGATACTTAAATCGTATTGACATTGAATTTTTTGGATAATTTTCGAAAAACAAATCAAAATATTTTTAATGAGTTATTGCTTTTCATATACACATATTTCTGATGAATTTTAGGACAAGTCTGTTGTTATGTATTATGCGAAAAATTAGTTTTTATTTAAATTAGACATTTTATTAAAAATTTAAGTAATTTTGATATATTATAATCATATTTGTTTGCGTCTGACATTTTGTACATTTCACGTTTATATGCAAACTGGATAAAATTGTACTGTTAAAGAGTATATGAATGTAATCGTTTATATTATTTAAAATGTGCATTTTGCAGTGCTTTCTAATATCTGATCATTCAACTTCACAGGAAGGATTTTCCAGGAATAATAGTTTTGCTATCGCCATGAAGTAATTTCTGCAGAAGTAATTGAATATAAATGTATTCAATGTCGTTAAAATGCAGATTGTCGAAGGTACTGTTCGGAGAGTGAAGGAATTCGAGCATTTTCAGAATTGTGTTATGTGATAAATGTTGGCACCTGGTATGAAACACGATTCTCATTTTGAGGTTTTTACTTTATTTATTTGTAATCCTGTCTTGAGTTGAGTTTTTGTAATTTCACGTTGGAAAAATTGTGATTAATCGCCATTGGTTGCTTGTTGATTGCTACCTGTTTAATCTGCGTGACTATGTATAGAAGGCTTGAAAAAAATAAAACTTATGTATTTTTAGTATGATCTAGTTTAAGTTCAGTTAGTGATATTTTTATACCACGAAAAAATATCCGTAGATATCAAGTTTCTTTTTGATATAGAGTAATTAGCTATGGAGTTTTTAAATTTTTGTCTAGAGTTAGTGTATGCAGTTTCATCTCATTGGCTGATTAATTTCGTGGTTGACAAAAAATAATGTAATAAGTAGTAAGAGTTGAATCTTATACAACTCATGATTTATTTCAGTCAGATAGCTCATGGCGTGGTGGCAGTTTGCGATCATCTGATGGAGGGACATCATATTTTGGAAGTTTGGACGATGCTGGACATGATGAGCGTCTGAGAATTGATCGTAAAATAGAGCAAATTAAAGAGAGATTATCTCGTGTTTCGCTTGCTAGAGAAGGCATTTTTCATTTCATCCAAAACTTTTTATAATTTGAATTTGCTAGTTCTCTTTATCTTTGTACTTAGTTCTTGCTCATGTAAATTTACCTCAGCAAAGTAACTGTTCTAGCGGATGTCGATGACTTTTTGTCAATGACAAGTAACTTGGAAGGAGGAAACGAAAATCCGCAACTGGCACGGGTTCGACAACATTTTGAGAAAAAGAATAAAAAAAGTTCGCAAGAAATAGACCATTTGCAGGTTAATATTTTTTCTTCTGCAGTTTTTTATCTCGGTATCATTATAAGATTTATTGTAAATGCTAACACATTGTAATTTATTGTAATCCTTTATTCTCCAACACTATATACTTTTGAATAGATCACAATTTTTACACACGAAGCTTATATTGAGTAAAATAATTCACTTCGAAAAAAATATATGTTCATAACTATAGATTCATAAAAATAATTTATTCATTAATTTTAATTGTCACAATAAAGTCATCGGCTATTAAATGTAGCATTCTAGAATGTTTAAAAATTTTTATTGAAACATCATAATTTTCAGAAAAAATTAGAACAACTGCAGTCAAGACTGGTAGAATTGGATATGGGAGTGATTACTGGGCCCTCGCATAAAAGCGCTGTGCTCAATAATATTCGGTACTTGATTTCGTTTAAATTCTATACTACTTTGTTTTCATATGGATTTGTTTGATTTCAAGTTGTTTATATTTCATTTATTTTCAGTGCATAAAATTGAATTATAAAGTAACTAAAAGCTAGAACTTTATTTCTTACTTAAATTAAAAAAATGATATTTGTGACAGAAAAACGGGTCCATTGCTTCGGGAAGTGATCGCAGCACCTCGTGGAATAGCTCACATGATTAAAAATACTTTTGGATCAGCAGATAACATACCCGATAATGTAACAAATGATGTTTCCAATGTTGGGCACTCAACTTTTTATTCCGTTGTTGCACAGAGCAATGACAGGTTAATCCTTTATTGCGCTTTGAGTTTTTGGCTATGAAATGGATTTACTCTGAACATTATTTCGTTAGAAATTTATTGCATCTTGTGACTCATAAATTCAGAATGCACGAACTAGATTTACAAGATGGTAATAGCACGGCTTCACCACCTAAGCGTGGGCACAAACGGACTGAAACACTTCCAGCTATGGCATTTGATCTTGAAAATTTGGTGTCATCCTCGCATCACGAATTGCCTGCAAATTTTGGTGGCGCAACCAACACGCACGAGTTATGTAGTAGTATACAGGAACTAAAAGCACAGAATGTATTGCTTATTGAGCAGCTTAGCAAGTTGCAAGTAAGCTACACAATCATCCACTCATTAGAATGTAAAAATAGATATAGAAACGGAAGTAGATGAGAGACAATTATTTTGAACTTTTTGCAGAACGAAATTGCAGTTGGTGCAATTTAAAAAGTTTCCTTCCAGGAATTGGTTTTTCGTATTTTTTAAACTGAAAATAAAATTTTTGAAGGCTAGTAATTAAAGTTAGAACTTCACATAGATTTATATTCAAAGTACAATTTAACCATTTGTATACAGTTCGTTCTAGCAAAGCTATTTATTGTCATCATACTGTTATTGATTGAATTATTTTTGCATAAATTTTGATCCCTTGTTAATTATTATGGTTTGCTTATTTCATAAATTATATAGACTCAAAACAAGTCGGAATTCAGTTATTTCAACAATGCACTTCATGAGGAAAGGATCAAAACACAGGTTTGTGATGATAAATATCAGTTAAGTACGAATTATCATTCGATGAGATGGTAATATTCTGCGGCACTCTCAATTAGTTGTGTTGTTGTGTTTTATGTTGTTATGTTCTAACATTTTCACTTTGTTTGAATACAAATAATCAAGAAACCAAATCTGTATCATATAGATCTGCTGTTTATATGATTATGTTTTAATTTTAAATTCGTTTCTAACTGTTTGTAGAGACTTGAAGAAATGCTGAATGAAACAATTGAATTGCATCAAGCTGAAATGATTGCACTTAAATCTGATCTCAACACGATTGCAACACGAATGGATTATCAATACAGTGATCGTTTTCGGTCCATTGAAGAGAACATTGAAAGCACTCAAAACAAGGTGGGATTTGTTTGGTATCTGCAGGATCAAATATTTTCCTATTAAATTCAACTTTTTTCCATACTGTGTTACAGTGCGGCTGAATTGATGATAAAAGTTTTTTAAATTTCTTATAAAAAATAAAATTTTTCCATGAAATTTGAGGGGTAATGCATTCAGTACATAACTAGTTAGGATTTTGAGTGATATTTTTGTTATTTGAAGCTCTTCAGTTTTTGTCTTATTTTGTTAGATGATACGAATGGAAGTAAATGTGAAAGAATGGGCAGAATCTCGACCACAAACAACATTTAGTTCGGTTATGCTTTCTGGAACAAATATTTTAGTGGAATTTATTAAACTTGTATTGTTAATCGTCTCTTTTGCACTTGATTTTGTGAAACCATTTACTGGAACCAGGTATTCTGTTGCTTATCATTGAGTGAAGAATTCTTTAAATATTAAAAGTTTTTTCCATTTTTTTGCTTCGGTTTGTTTATCTTTTTTATCTTTTCTGTGATATTTTAGGACTCGAGCCGGTTTCGTGATTCTGTCGTGGCTAGCCTTGATGATTTTATCACACTTCATTGATATTGATGAACTGCTCCGGAAAATTGGTGTTGCTTTACGCATTATTTCCTCGTCGTCTTCATCAAATTCCACGAGTTCATAAATTAAGATGACATTTTGAGTTTTTATTTTAATTCTTATTTTTAAGACGTTCATGACATTAACATGAAAAAATTTGCTAGCAGCATGAGATAAGTTTTTTTGGTTGTTGTCTCAAATACAAAAATAATAACATGTGATTTATTGCATGCATGATCACAGCATGAATGAGATAACTGAAATGTCATCTCTTTTATATGATTTAAATTAATTATAATGTGTGCCATTAATAATAATCAGGGTTAATGAAAAATGTTCCGAGACCTCGGCAAAAATACTTGGATTGAAGAGGTTTTTTCGGAATGGGGAAAAATTCTTCATCTTCAGTTATTCATCGCAAGGATTTGTTGTTGAGGAGAAAGTAAGAAAGTGGTACTAAAAACTAAGTATTTATGACAGGAATTTTTCGGAGTTCTTTTGTACTAAAATACTAATCACATGTTTATACTCTCAATATAGTTTCTGCTATTTAAATATTGCTTGCTTCTTTTGAAACATACACAAGATTCTTGTTGCTGTGGCAGTGTTTTATTTCTCGCGCATTATTTACTCTCAGTGTATATATTTTTAGTACCTGAATTACACGCTTATCCTATGCTTCCTTTTAATATTTTGACACACGCTGTAGTATTTTTGTAAATATACACATTTATGACAAAAACGGTTTTTTCAGATCAAAACTTCATAAGGATTGTGTAGTAATGTGGTTATGTTACATTACACTGTACTTGAAAATTTATTATAAATCTTAAGAATAGTTTTAACTGCGCTAATATTTATTCGCTTTGATGACAGACGAATATAGTTTAGTGCAGTTTGAATAATATAAGCAGAAGCAACACTAATAGTGGTGAAACAATAAATAGCTGAATGAGTAATCGGATATGTAATTTATCAAAAGACTTCCTAATAACTTGTTATACTCGATTTGGCTAATTAGAATGTTCTATTTAACGCTGCTTAGTTTGAATAGCTTAATTCAGTATGCAGTAATGTATTTAGAGGCTCGTCATCAGTAAATCTTAACAACAAAAAAATATTGTCATTAGCAACAAAATGGTACTTCTCGTAAGTATTTCTTTCGTGATATCGCAACAAAATGGTACCTTTCGTAAGTATTTCTCTCGTGACATATTTCATGACCTTGTAGTACCGTTTTCTGTATTACCATTCAACTGAGAGGCATCTGTTGTAAGTGTTGTTTCAGAAGTGTCTGGAGGAGCTAATACAGCATATTGTGGAGTGAAAATGAAACCATCTCCATAAATGAATTTTCCAGATTCGTCACTTTCCGGTATCGGTTGTGGTCCACCAATGAATGGTTGGTAGTTTATCCCTCTACCACGACATGGTGGAGGTAAAATTGTTATTGGTAACTCGAGCAACAAATAATCACCAAGAGAAAACTGCAAGATACGATTATAAAAGTGAATTTGAAGTAATTTTAAAATTTTAGTAATGTGATGAAAAATATCAGTTTGTCAGGTGCACCACAATTAAATGAAGCAATAAAGCAGTTTTAATATTATGGAAAAAGAATTTTTTGATCAGATAGATTAAGTTTACATTCAATACATTTTTTAGTTCCACGCTGCGTTAAAAAGTCAGACAATGTCAGAGTAATACAATATAAGTACAAGTTACAATAATGAAAAATGTATTTAGCTAAATTTTATCGTCTAATAAAAAAAACCCAATAGAAGCTGCAAGATGTACCTTACATATTATGCGACTGATATTATTCTGTATACTTGAACAGATGATATATTTTACACGTGAAATTCATACCTGGATAGCGTATTCTACACGTAAAAATGGTTTCTTGCGAAATTTCAGTGTAGCAGTGCTTGGGGATTCTTGAAATTTAGCCAATAGCTGAGTGGGAATCAGTGGTTGGTCTGGTGTTATTATTGCATCATTATTTGTAGTAGAAATATTATGAGTAATACTTGATTTTAGTGATTTTGACCCTGGAATTGTAAATTAAAATCGAAATACAACTTTTATAACATTTCTAATTACAAATAATTTTAATCATGTGGGCTATCGTATACCACTTCTAAACTGTCTCATCAAAATATGCGTATAATATTTTGATCTCCTATTAAGGAGCTAATAAAAGAAAGCATATTTATATATTACTACATAACTTTGAAATAAGACTATTTTAATAATCTATTAATAAGTATTAATAATTCAAATTAATTAGATTAAAACTGGCTTTTTACTAAAAGACACTAATTAAAAACTAACCTATAGTTGGTGCAAGTGCAGGAATTTGCAAAAAATATACTTCGTCTTTTTGTAATAAACTTTTTGACTTCACAACATCATGCTTTTCAAGTCGTCGTAAGATCAATGTCCGATTCGGTAATGTTATACTATTCTTAGCATCAACACATTGTACTCGATCTACCAAACGTAGTTCCACCTAAAAAACTAACACAAGATATGAAATTGAAGATTCAAAGTTACTTTTAATCTCCAACCTTAGTTTATAAAAATTGTTTACAATCTCGGGTTTGCAAAGAAGCTGAGATTTGTATTATATTTACTTGATCAATGATCTGCCTCGAATGTCGATTATCGATTTTGATCGAACCAATCACCATTTCTCCTGGTGTATAGCCCGATTTCGGTAATGTAACCTCAGCAGTAAGCTTTCCACGACAACAGCAACCCCCAAATGTAACCGTTTCACTCACAGTAATCGGTTGACTTGTAGGTTCCACATATGATTCTATCGGGGCGATCACGGAAATTGGCTTTTTTGCTACATACTCACGCTAGAATTCAGTAGATCTACGTTTATTAAATTTGATTTTATCCTCAAAGTAAATGAATTTTACTCTATTATAACATTAATTTCTGCCTGAAAACAGAAAAGATATTCAAAAATTTAATTTCTGAAATTATCTTTTGATATAATAGCAAGGTTAATTAATCAATAATGTTAAAAATAAGATACGATGTCAGTTCCAGCTTCTTCAACAACAGTTGCACGAATAAAATATCGAATAAAACCGTGTGGATTTTCATATGATGTTGGACAGCCTAATGGTAATGGGCATTCAAATGGTAAATTATACAAGAAATTAGCAATCCACGGGAAATGTCCCGGTTCTGGTCTACCAGGCGGTCGTTCCAGCAGCGTAAAATCTTTATCAAAATATACCTGAAATGACATCATACTAAATTTGTTACTACTATAAAAATCAAATAATGAAACACATTTAACTAAGACCAACAGTTTTAAAATAAAGGTCTTACAATAAATACTGCAAAATTTGTAGCACAAAAAAATTCATGACAAATAACTGACACAAATTTTATATCTCCAAAATAGTTGTTTAAGATAAAATCAAGTTTTTTCAAATTATCAGTGATAAATAATACATACTTTTTCAATTTCAGCTCCCTTAGATGAATTATTTTTTGTGCACGCCGCACGACCCTTAAATTGTAATCTGATCGCTTGTATAGTCATTGGCTTTTTGAGTTCAATACGTAAATTACCGGTGATTAATTCATCACCATGAAAAATTGGTTCTTGACCAGCGTGAAGTTCAATTTCAAATTGTCGAAATATATCATCAGCAGTAGGCATTATTTTTCATTAATTTTTCACTTTCTGAAATTTTCATTTAATAATTATAAATAATCTTTTAGAATTGATAAAAATGGTACGTAAATTATCTCTCTATTGTTATTAGTGGCTGAATAATTAGCTTTTGTTACAACATATTGACAATTAGAAATTTTTTTGCACAAATTTTTTTTTGAAATTTAATTAAATTAAATAAACTATTTTACTAATATAATTTAGAACTGGAAACTAACAATTTTATTTAATTTTTTAATAAAAAAGCCGAGTATGACATTTATTGTCAACTAAATTGCTCACATAATTTAATCTAAATATTTTGACTAAAAATAAGCTATAAATACTTGACTTCTTCTTGCTTTAAAAGTGGATTTAATTTCGCTCTTCCTTTTTCAAACTACTGCTAAAAATTAGGAAATTTTTAAAAAGTTATATATTTTTCAATCTTTAAATTAATATAATTTAGACAAAAAATGAAATGAAGCACAAAAAAGCAAATTATTTGGAGTAAGTCTTCACTGTGAGTTAGCTACTTTCCGAACAGAATAAAATCTATTTTACTTTTTTAAACAATATAAATGAATTAAAACGAAAACTGTTTTATTTTGTGACAGATTAAGAATTACAATAACTCACTGTGAATAATATCAAAACACACTTTCTCGAATAATACTGCTGAAATTCAACCCCACAGAGTGGCAATAATTTACAGTACAAATAGAAGTATGATAATGGGGTAAGGTTCGTAGATAATCAAAAATCAGAGATAACAATAAGCAAAAAGTATTGCAAATATACTTTTTAATAGCAGAAAGATTTATTTTTGTTGTATATATTCGCTTAATAAACAATGACGATTACTTCTATAAGAGTAAAACGAACAGCAATAAACTATTTGTTGAATCAGAAATTCAGCAATTTTTATAGTAATAAGCAATGCTTAACAATATTTGAATAAGTCGTTGTGCTGTTACTGATGAATAAATATCGTCAAAAACCATTTCTTGACTGAAATATTTATTATTTTATTTTAATTATTATCGTTTTATTTATTGAATTAATAACTTCAAATTACGCTAACTAATCTACTGTTCTTTCTTTTAATTTCAGTCCACATATTTCTATCCAAATTTGTCAGTGTGAAATGAATTAATAACTAAAGTCCTGAAAACATTTCATTCACAATTATTATTTTTGTATGATTTTCGATGAATCAAAAAGGAAAAAGGAGCGCAAAAATAAATGAGCACAAATAAGTAAGTGAGTACGTCTTTTGATAAAATAACTGAATTGCAATAATATGCCATTAAAATAGATGTAAAAAATTTGCATATCTTAGCAGGTTAATCAAATGCATATTATATGCAAGTAATACAATCAAAATGTATGAAAATTTAAAATTTTAATAGCAAAAAGCAAAAATGTGATATATTCGCATATATGCAAATTTTTATGCATATATGCAAATTTTTATGCACAGTTTTACGAAGGAAAAAGTTTGTTGTGCACCGAAAGCTTTTATCCTTAACGAAAGAATAAAAATTATTCAAAAAATTACAACTGTTCTGAGCAAAATTTCCGGATGTTCACAGTGATCTAAAGTTATTTAAGGGAAATAAGTGCTGTTGAAAAATAATCATAAAAATTTTTATTCTATTCAACAAGAACTGAATTACAATTATTACAAAGTCATCAACAAAATTTACTAAAATTAAGCGATTTATTAGTCACTACGAAGTATTTGGAATAATTTCGAAGACTTTTTATAGCTAGAAGGCAAGTATCCACTTTTCCGCGAATTTCTTACCACTAAATTTACTACCAATAACTTATTGCTAGGAAATAGAGAATAAATTATTATTAGATTTTGAAGGTGGAAATGAAATGCTGGAAAAAATTGGTTGGAGTTATTATTCTAAGACGATTGCTCCACGTCATATTCTGTTATTAGCGTAATTTTTCTATTTACAAATAGTTCTGCATTTGAGTGAAACGCGATCTTTCTGGTTACATATTGGATATTAGTTTCAGTATGATTCTTATCTGTTGTGCGAAAATTATTTCACACTAGATAACTAACATTCATCTACATTAACCAAGTCACATACTACAGTGACCAGAGATGACCTTTGTCGGCTTTTGTCATGTATTACTTGACACCATCCAATGCTTTGTTGCAGTGAACTTTGACCTTCATTATTATTAATAATAGATTATAGAAAGTTTCCTCGTCGTCTATAATTCCAACTATTAATTAATCGATATGATATTTTTTCATGATTATGATAAAAATTTGTCTTAACTACCACGTGATTTTCCTCAATATGTCCCGTTAGTTAAATATGAATACTCTAAAGTAGCGTGTTGAACTTGATTATGCAAGCAGGTACGGCATGATGCTTACTAATACTACGCATATAACTAAACAGCTGCTGACGTGTTATTCCTTAGATGCTACATTAATCACATGTAATATACACAATAATCCGTCTAATAACTGATTTCAGCATTCTACTGAGATAAACAAAAACAAAACAGTTACTCCAACCATGCCAAAAAAGGAAATAATGTTAAGTAAAGTATCTGTCAAAATTTCAAACATATCTTTGACCTGTAAAAACGGATAAAGAAATAGTAATAATAATATTTGCTTTTTTGACGATTTTATTTACTTCACACAAAATATACAAATAAAAAACCAATCGACCTAACAATTTTCGAAGAAAAAAGTCTTGCAAATAGGATAAAAGAGCATTTGTCGAAGAAAATCCTTGCGAATTCGAAAAGTAGCAAATCCCTCGAGAGAGCCTTCTGCTCAATGTTTCAGCGGTAATAACATCAATTTCCGGGAATATCTCACACTCAGAAAATATTTTGCTGAAAATGAAAGATAAAGAGTTAGAGTAAACTTCAACTTCTAATACAATCAAAGTAATGCTACTTTTTTCCTTCAGTTATCTCACAGAAATCATATTCATGATATGCCTTTAAATGTGTAATAAAGAACATAATGTGAAATTGTGCAATTTTACCATTCAAAAATGCATCAGATTTAGTGAGAATTAAGTAATTCTCTGATATGTATTGAAATAAACTAACTTTAACGATCAGATCACAATTGAATAAATTGGCTAATTTATTTAGATTAAATAATTTTAATAACTTTAAATGCACTAAACATCAATAAGCGTACAAATCATGTCATTTGCCTGCTTAATAAGCTTAATAAGCATACATATAATGTCAGGTAACTAACTGGCTTTAGTGCAGTTGAGTACAATATTGTAGTCCACAAAGACAGCACACGAGAACTTTTAAGACAAATGCGAATAAATATGGAAAAGATAGAACATAATTTATCAGTGAAATACTATGTAATTTGGTAAAAAATTTTTATAAATTTGCTTTTCACAATTTTATTTCATTCTAAATATATATTAACAAAATTTGCATAAAGTGAATAACTTAATTAGCAGTTGATAAGAGCTTGTTTACATACAGTAAGTTCAATATCAATCGTTATCGTCTGATAAGTGATAAAAGAGCTTTCAGTAGATGGAAAGTCAGCACTGAAAAGATAAAGTCAATATTTAATTACTTTAAAAATTTATTGAATTTAATTTTTAAGACAAATGTGAGAATGAAAATGCAAAAAATGTTATAAGCAAATGCTGCACTGAGATAAAACGCTTGATTTGCAGAAGGCAAGCATTGGAAGTGAGTTGCTTTTTAATTAAATTAACTACCGAAAACTTTCAAATTTTCGTAAATTAAGGCTGAATTTTGTTATGCATTAAACAACGAATTGTATTTAAAAAAAGTAAGCAAAGTTTTAGTATGTAATAATCAGTGAAAAAATAATTGCTACATTTAATAGTTAAGTATGATATGAATGTGAATGTGAAGTAAGAACTGAAAGATAAAATGATATATTTATCAATAGTGATAATGGAAGAGAACATGAAATGAAACTGATGGTACGATCAATTGTTAATAATTAAACTCTGATAAAAATTTTGACAACTATAAGTGAGAACTGTATAAAAGCATTGAAATGTTTATTTAAGACTTAGTTCAATTTAACTCAAAAGCGATAAAATATTAATTTTCAAATTTGAATTTAACTTTTTTTTCGCTCTCCAAACGTGTGGTGTTTGCAAAAAAATCAAATACTTGTCTTAGCAAAAAACAAAAATAGCTAAATTTGTCATGAATTGAGATAAGTAAGCACTTTCGACTTACTTGCAGAGCGATTAGTTCTGAACTGATAATAAACTTGCCATGCTTGAGACAATTTCCCCACTCATTTCCATCTTTATACTCGTAGTAATCGCAGTATTGAAATGATTCCAACCAAATTTTTAAGTAATAAAATAAAAGTTGATACTTTTCGAGCAAAAACCTAACTGGTAACGTTATTTGATGCAAATATACATCATCTAATAGTTTGAACTTCTACTGACTAACTTTTGCAAAGTTAATATGCATCAAATGAAGCTGATTAGTTGTAAGCATCAATATTTCCCTTAACATTTTTATATGTTCAGAAAAAATACTCCAGATACACTTTGATATATTTAAAAGTGAAAATTTTTAAAGTTTAAAAATAATCAAACAAAAATTTGCATTTCAGAAAATAAAAAAATTAAGTATAGTCAGAAATTTATAAGCTGTTATAGTTTCAAATTAAATATTTAAATTTTTATAAAATCATTTTTAGAATTGAATTCGCAAGCCAGCAATAAAATTGCACAAGCGCTATTTTACTTTTTTCAAACTCCATGAATTTCATGCTTCTTTCGCGTACGTGAAGCAGTTTTTAAATACTCAAATTATATTTATGCATTTGCAGTGAACAAGTACTGCATTTTACGCCTCACTCGCTGACTATAATGCTTTTAAGCGAAGTGATGATATGTGTGGCATAAATATTATTATTATAAAGTTTGAAATATATCATTAAAAAGTTTTTATTTTACAACGATTTGTATATGTTTATGAGT